CGGTGCTGTGCAGCCTGCTCTGGGTGACCCTGCTTGGGCAGGGGGGTTGGACTGGGTGACCCACAGAGGTCCCTGCCAACCCCTGCCATGCTGGGATTCTGTGATTCTGTAACGCCTGGTTAGTGGGTCACCGTAATAACGCCCTCGGAGCGTTTCTCCTGGTTATCAGAAAGCAGTCCCGCTCGGGGTCGAGCTGTTTGGGAGGAAGGGCAACAAATCAGCACCTTCAACACCGTCCTGGTGGGAAAGAGCTCTGGCAGGGAAGGGGTGTGAGCGTCTGAGCTCCCTCAGTCACCACGCACCAGTTTTTTGGCCTCACGTCCTAAGAACAAGAGATATCTACGGGCTTCCCCCCACCCCCATCCTTAATAACTGGAATCTGCTGGCTAATCTCAGCCAGATCTGACAGCAGCATCTCTGAGGGTCTGTAAAACCAGAAAGGAGACCCTTGTTAGCTTCCCCCCCCTGCCTGACAAAGTGGGCACAGCCTTGGGTTTGAGCTCAACCCTATGAGCCATCTGAGAACCCCCAACGGGCACACAGCGGGGGTGAGCCCAGGTTGCTGGCGGCAGGAACAGCCTCTGCGTTGTGCTGGGGGGAACGGCCGGGTGGCCATGGGCCGCGTCAAGGTATCTCTCCCAGTGGCTCCATCCATGGGACCGGCTGGGCTCGCCTCCTTCCCCGTGGCTGTTTCCTTTCCCGGGAGCATCCCGCCGGGCGCTGACAGCGGGGAAGCCGCAGCGGCGTGGCTGATTCCCACCACTGCAGCACCCAGCTCGCGGCATTTCCATTTTTGGGAACGGTTCTCATTGACTTTTGGTCTCACTTCTTTGAATCAGCTTCGCCTCGTGACTCACCACCGTCTCACCCCGACCCACCGCTCCCACGCGCAGGGACACCCTTCCCTGGCCGGTCTGGACCGGGAGCTACGTCACGACTTGCTCAGGTGCATCCTCAAGGATGCGCACGTTGCCCAAGGTGGGTCTGGAGGCCACCAGCCCCGAGCAGCAAGAGCACCCACCGGACACCCGGTGATCCCAAGGCACCCACCCGCACCCAGGGTTTCTGGCCCAGCCCACGCCGGGTCCATCCCACACGTTCCCACTGCGACCCACAGAATCACAGCAAGTTTGGGGTTGGAAGGGCCCTCTGTGGGTCACCCAGCCCAACCCTCTGCCCAAGCAGGGTCACCCAGAGCAGGCTGCACAGCACCGCGTCCAGGCGGGGCTGGAATATCTCCAGAGAAGGAGACTCCACAACCTCCCTGGGCAGCCTGGGCCAGGGCTCCGTCACCCTCAGAGGGAAGAAGTTCTTCCTCATCTTCAGCTGGAGCTCCCTCTGCTTCAGTTTGTGCCCGTTGCCCCTTGTCCAGTGGCTGGGCAAGCAGCTCCCCGTGCGTGTGTGCGGGTGGATGAGAATTCGGTGTTCCCTTTGGGTTTTTCTTCGCAGGTCGTATGTCCCCAGGCCGTGTGTGC